ATGTAGTATTTCAATATCTTTAAACTCCAGTTTTCAACGTGGAAATTTTATTTCAAATTGGCATTTCTAAATGATATTATAAAGATTAAAAAACAATAGTAATTCTTAGTGATGGGACAAATGATCTTGTGTTCTGTTTGTTTGGCAGACCAACGATTAGTGTTTTTTCCTATCGCAACAACCAGAGGTCGGTCGTCCCGATTCACAATTTGTGTTGTAAATTTTTTCACCAATGTTATCGCAGCGACCGGTCGTCTAATTATACTAAATGGCAATAATGAAGGAAATAGTACCAATGGGACATATGACCTTGTCTAGTAGGTAGTGAAATAGCAATAATTATTAGTAGCAATGGGACATACGATCTCGTCTAGAAGGTAGGTAATCGTGATACATGCCAGAAAGAGATTAGTCCATGTTGATTGAGAAGACTCTAGATTATTAGATTAATTAAATAATTGAAGTTTGTGGTGGTAAATAGTAGAACAACTACTAGTATTTAAGCAAGTCTATCTAAAAAAAAAAAGTCTATCTTCATGAGCATTTCATCAACACAAACTTTTAAGTGTTTTTATTTCTCTACGTACAATTTCTCAGTTAAAAGATGGAAGGCAAAGCTGTGATTATAAGTGTTCTCATAATTAGTCTAATCATGGTGCAAATCCAACTAGGAGCGGCGGAGAAGGTTTGTTGCCCATCCGCATATGCTAACAAAGCTATTTAACATGTACTCTAAATCTGATGGAATCTGTGTGCCTATTATCTACTGGATGCAAAATTATTGATGGGAACAACTGTCCTCCAGAGTTACCTAATGACAATTTCAAAAGCTCTGGTAAATTAAACTTTCTTTTGTGCGTCATTAAGTTATACTTTTTTCAAAGTTAAAAGATTTTATTTTTGATGCGAGTTGCATGTATTTCGGTTTTCCGTTCAAGGTGATCTTGTCAATGAGTACTGCAAGTTGGGGTGTGTATCATCTGGGTGTGGTGCTATAAGCACTCTTCAAAAGTCTGGTAAAGAAAACTCTGCAAGCTCATTGGTATTATTATTTTCATTTTTCATAAACAAGAAAAAACCATTTCAAATTTTAATTATATATGCAACTTATTTGTTTCGGTGACTAGACGCCAGTGAAATTGTGAATGGAGCAGTTGAACGATGTACCAAGACATGCTCAACTCTATGCACCAAGGGCTCTGCTACTACCTAAGCAAGCATATCCACGAAGATACCAGTGTTTAAGGGAGTTGTTGAATAACGTACCAAGTTTCATAATGTTGTTTTCAATAATTGTCCCGTGTGACTAAAAAAAATGCTAGAGTTTACTAGTATTTGTAATATATAAGCTGCTTATTTTCTGTATGAGTCGTAGAAGGTTGTCGATCCCTAGACTGTACATGCCTTCGGACTTGCTATCATCTGAATAAAGAGTAATGTGTCTTTATTAATCTTCTTCTCCAGTATTTTTTATTTCTTTTCCACTATTTTTTTTTAAATGAATGTTAAATGAATTAAAAAAACGTTTTTAGTAACTTGAGTTCAAAGAAATAGAGCGCCCTTAGAAAAAAGCAGAGATGAGTCTTGCGTCTTGGGCTATCGATTCTTCGATAAGTTGCATGTATCGATTCTTTAGTTAAGGTTCCCAATAGGATGTAAAGTTTAACGTCGGCTTTTAAAATACTATGAGAGCTAGACATTTCAGTCCAAATAAGACTCTCTAAAATCCATGATTGAGTAAGGTTTAACATTTCAAATGCATGACCGAATTCACCCAATTGAGATTGACAAAACAAGTGAAAGTGAAATCGATAAATACCAAGATTAAGGTTTAAGATAAATAATATTGTAATGGAACTAATTCCTCTATTGTTCATAGAATATGTTTTACTAATTAGGGTCTAAACTTTATAAACAACTAATTAACCAAAAAGTTTATTGCTTTTGTTGCATCCTAGAAAAAAAAAGAGAACTTTATAAACAATTGGGTTAGTTTGCATTCTCTTGGGAAGGTCCCTCTTCTTATGCGTTTTGACTTCTGACAACGTTATACTAACGATGAGAGTACACATACAGCTTTAGAAACTCAAAATCTGAAGAAGAAAAATTAGGTCTTTTTGTTCTTAATCGGTGAATGTTCATATTTGTTTTCGTTTTTTTTTTTGGTCAACAATCACCATATATTAAATCAAATGCAACCGATTGAATGGTTTTTCTGACGGACAACTCCAAACGAAAATGTTTTACTTACATGGGAGAATGCATAGTCTCGTGCTCGAGCTCTATTTACAATGGAGTCGTCCCAGACATTACCACTACGTGGGATATAAACTAAACTAAAATATACAAAGGATTGTCTTAGCATGGTGAACCAGTCAAGCTCCGCACTGAAAGATAGTCAATCTAATGGATGCGTGCCATCTTTATGGGGCCCTTGATATTCCACAGCGCTTCCAAACTTTCCTATTGGCTCTGCAATGTTACGTGCCATCTTTATGTATCCGCTCTCTCCCCAGTTTTTTTTTTTTGATAACTCAGGGTAAATCCCAGGTCTATGGAGGGGCTCAGACTAATCTCCGGGGGAGGTGCAGCCCATGGATAGACCCTTTCTTCGGGTATGCAAATGGGCCGAAAGCAAGGACCCATATCCATGTGGGTGTCCAAAGCAATGTGTTTTAGTTTCGCGTCACAAACTCGTCTCCTTACTACTTGACCGCAAGGCTCCGGACTCTCTCCCCAGTTTTTTCCCCATGAGTTTCTTACAATCCAATAGTCTTTTTCGTTTTCGGTTCCATAACCAACAGCCACAACTCCGTGGTCTAGCTCTACACCACATGTTCCATCAAATACACCCTAAAAGAGTAAGCAATGAAGCAACATTTGAATGCCTAAACTTGTATAAACAATTTGGTATATTTCCGTACCGAATCATAGAGCTGGAACGCGCGACCACCAGCTTCAATGGCTACACTAATAGGCTGATTAGCCAATGCTTTCTTTATAGACGCCTCGCTGTTTGTAGGCACATCCTCGTAAGAATCAATTGTAACAACCTTAGCGTTTTTGTCTTTTTTAAAAAAAAAAACAACCTTAGCGTTTTTCTACAAAACAAGAAAACAGAGGAATGTCAATTTCAATGCCATTTCTTTTGGTATCTTATTTGATAAACAAAACCAAGAAAAAATGCAATAACTAACCCTGTTCTGGTCACAACGACCATCATTAGCCCTGTATGGATAATCTTCTTCGGTATCGATACCTCCATTCTTGATGATGAACTCAAACGCATAATCCATCAAACCACCATTACAACCTTGGTTATAAGATGTGTCACAATCAACAAGTTCTTGTTCAGACAAAGCGGTTAGATCTCCTGTCACAATTTTGTTTATTCCTTCCATGTAAAGATTAAAGAATTTTGTAGAGGAATAAGTTAAGTGGAACTATTCCTCTGTTTTCATATTGTCATGTTTTACAAGTTATATCCCAAACTTTTATAAACAACTGGTCTACTGATTAACCAAAAGGTTTATTGCTTTTATTGCATCTCTAAAAAAGAACTTTAAAAACAATTGGGTTAGTTTGTACCCAAGCATCGAGCTGGAACGCGCGCGACCACCAGCTTAGATGGTGACACGTAGGGGCTGATTAGCAAATGCTTTCTTAAGGGAAAGCATTGAGGCTTGGTAATGCAACATACCTCCAGTGTAACCTTGTCCACATAATAAGAGGCGACTGATAATACACATAAGAAGACTGGACTTTTTGTTCTCAAGGTTTACACCTAAACCTTGAAAACAAAAAGTCCAGTCTTCTTATGTGTATTCTCTCCGGACAAGGTTACACTAAAAAAGAATGCTTTCTACTACCAAAAAAAAAACTATATCAGCCAAATAACCAAAAACTCCACTAGGTTTCAATTTAGAAGTAACAAAGTTACATAATCAGTCCGCACAAACCGCAGTGTAAGTTGCATATAAGCAGGATTTGAACACACCCAAAATAAAGAGTAGACATGATAAATTAACCAAAACAGAGAAGATGAGAGTGCACACATACAGCTTTAGAAGCTACAAATCTGCAGAAGAAAAATTAGGTCTTTTTGTTCTCATTCGGTGACAGTTCATGTTTGTTTTCGCTTATATAGGAAATTGTCAACACTGTCACGGCCCAGAATTTTCATGGGCCAGATCCAAGACGTAACTCATTAATATTATGGATTTTTGATTTTAAACCCTTTAAAGCGAAGATTATTGCACATAACAGGGATAGTGCAATTGTATCAAGTTTAAAGATAAAGGGCTAACCAAACCCATTTGTTTTGTTTTGAGTCTGTTACTTGAATAAATGATGGAAGAAACTGAATGAAACTTAGGGAGAGCTTTTATATGTACAGAAAGCTCTCAGCAACAGAATCAGCAAGTTTTTTAAAATCTGAACAACAACATTAAAATGCTTTTGATGAATCAAATCTTCTTTCTCTCCTCTCTGAAGAAAAGAGCCACTCTTCAATGTTTGCATCTTTCTCTTACGCAATGTTCTTTCTGCTATGTGCCCAGAATGGTTTCGCGGGTGTGCGCTTCATCGCCTTCACGCTAAACGGACTGTTCTTGCTCTGCCAAATCCGAAAATATCGCTAAATCAATAAAAACATTAAACTCAATGCTCGGTTGAATACCAAAAGATATGAAGAGAAACTCACCATCAAACAGGTTCCGCGGTTAATGTCACAAACCGGGTACTCATGAGGACAGCAGCTAGAGTTATCGTCGCAGCAAGTAGCTGCTTCGAGCGGGCAACATCCCCAACCGAAGCAGTACTTCCCGTACTTGTATAGACAACAACAAGTGTTGCTCTCAGGACATGAAAAGTATTTGTCACATGTTGTTGGTGGCTTAATGGGAGATGGCGGTGACGGTCCAGGGTTTGGCGGGTTCTGACCTTTCTTGATCGGGTACGAAGCTTCCACCGCGATTCCACACTTTCCTGTTGGCTCTGCAATGTTACGTGCCATCCTAATGTATCCACTCTCTCCCCAGTTGTTTCCCCATGAGTTTCTCACAATCCAATAGTCTTTTTCGTTCTCGGTTCCGTAACCAACAGCCACAACTCCGTGGTCTAGCTCTACACCACATGTTCCATCAAATACACCCTGAAAGAGAAAGCAATGAAGCAACATTTGAATATCTTGAATTGAAGAACATGTAAACTTGGTACAAACATTTGAATGCCTAAACTTGTATAAACAATTTGGTTATTTTCGTACCGAATCATAGAGCTGGAACGCGCGACCACCAGCTTCAATGGCAACACTAATAGGCTGATTAGCCAATGCTTTCTTTAGAGAAGCCTCGCTGTTGGTAGGCACATCCTCGTAAGAATCAATTGTAACAACCTTTGCGTTTTTCTACAAAACAAGAAAACAGAGGAATGAATCACAATTTCAAAGCCATTTCTTTTGGTAGGTATCTTGTTTGATAAACAAAACCAGGAAAAAAAATGCAATAACTAACCCTGTTCTGATCACAACGACCATCATTAGCCTTGTATGGATAATCTTCTTCGGTATCAATACCGCCATTTTTAATGATGAACTCAAACGCATAATCCATCAAACCACCATTACAACCTTGGTTATAAGATGTGTCACAATCAACAAGTTCTTGTTCAGACAAAGAGATTAGATCTCCTGTCACAATCTTGTTTATTCCTTCCACTGCTCCAATAGTTGAAAATGCCCAACAACTCCCTTCATTACCCCATACAAGCAAAAAAAACATAAGAAGATTAGTTGTCTTTATCAATCAAATTACATCTACCATAATCCCAAAGAATTGCCCCACCACCACTCTCATTTAATTCTTAAAAAAGTGAAAATATCAAATGGGTCTTCCACTACCACTTTAAAGTTTAAAGACCAAAAATGGCCCACCGATTTTGTCATTCTGTATTCTACAGACAGAGACCGTTCGCGAACGATCTCTATTCATAGAATAAACACAACTATCATCATAAAAAATAGTTTAATTGTGATTTTTTAGAATTTTGAAAACACAATTATTACATATCCACAACGTGCACATCTAAAAGTCACGAGTTTAAACGAAACCTCATCATTCCCCAAGAAAACAGTCTACAAGGGGTAAATATGTCTTTTTGCACAACTTTCAATATGATTTGAAATGTTCGAAGAGTTTAATACACTTTATCTCGAATTTTCATCGAAATTCTAACTGATTCGTCAATAATTAAGGAACTAATTATCTCAGATTCGAAATCTAAGATTTAGAGATTTTAAAGTCAATAAAGTTGAATTCAAAATGATCGGAGATTGGAAGAGTTTTCTTACCGCAGCTTCCCTGATCTTTAACGGCGGCCACGGCACCTTCTTTCCTCCAGTCAACGGATTCCGGTAGAGCGTCACCTATACGCGCCTCGTACCGATCGCTGGTTTTGAGGACTCTCTTCTTCGGTTTAGCACCGAGGTAAATAGATCGGTACTCTTCGTTGGTTAGATCAGCGAACCGAGTCAAACCGAGTTTGTAACTGAGGTTTTTCTTGTTGTTGTGTTCATCGACGAAACGGAGATTGTCTTTAAAGATCTCGAATCTCTCTTTGTTCTCTCCGACAAGAAGAAGATCGTTCTGATTCTTCTTCTTGCCGTGTTTCACCAACCACGCATCGTAGATACTCGCAACCTCGGCTTCGCTACGGCCGTTCACGGCGGTGGTGATGTGGTGGTTCTCGTCGTATGAGATGATCGACATGTCGATCGCCGACGAAACTCCGATCATCGCTACGGTGAGAAGGATCCATGTAGATAACTTAACAAAACCCATTTTTTTTTTAG